TGAGTGACTGAGCAGGAACTCCTGATCAGGGAAAGGTCTCAACTGGAGCACAAAACAAAGTTGTGGAAAGGCTCTTCTAACTATGACTGCTACCTGCTTTTCGAGCAGGAGTCGCAAGTCCAGGAGAATCCCCAGGTTGTGGACCAGGCTTGTCTTGGGTAGTGCCACTCCATCCAGAACTAAAGATGTTAAAGTCCCAGATCTTGAAGCTCTATGCACCCAAAGCCACTCAGTCTTTCCAGGGTTCAGCCAAAGTGTGTTGTCCCCCATCCAGGCCCCCACAACCTCCAGGCACCACAAAATGGCAGCCAGAACATCACTTAGGTCTGGGGATGAGGATATAGATCTGAGTAGCATCAGCCTAGTGATGGTACCTGAACTCACGGTGACGGATGACCTCATCTAGTGATTTCATGGGAAAAGCAGCTGAGCTCTGGATCTTTCACTCCCTATTAACACTGATTGGGACTGGCCTTGGAGAAAGAAGCCAAACCAGCACAAGTCTGTGCCACCTAGCCCCAGCCCCCTGGGCCAGTCAATGGTATCAAAGGCCATTGAGAGGCCATGGAGAGTGAGGAGGGTTGCACTATCTCTTCCCACGTTAGGAAGATTTCACACAACATATTAAAGCAACGTGATTGGTTTGGTTTGGATAAGTGTTGTGTGAAGCCAGTCACTGTTGCTTCACACAATCAGTCTCCAGAGTTAGTTGTATGTGAAGTAGATCTTTTGCTTTCAGAAGATTCTGGGTCTAAATTGCAATGTTTTCTGAATTATGCCAAAGCCAGAAAAATTACCTCCCTGGTACATTACATTCTTTTTTATTTTAAGTATTGATAAATTAATGAAAAGGCAATACCAATTGTGATCATTTTAGACCTCCAGCAGAAAAAGTTGTGTACATCTATATGCCTGTGAGTAAATGTGTCTGAAGGAAGTCGAAATAATGCTATTTGATGCAACAAAGTATTAAAACAGTCAAGAAAGACTACATGTGCTTTTTGTTGAATGCATCATGTGCAAAGATAATTTCTGCACGCTTTATCAAATTAATTTCATTGAATCAATTTCAGTTGTAAACTACAGGTAGAATTAGCTAATTCAATCCTGGTCACACAGAAGACAAAAGAATAAATGAAGCCCTGGAATGGATGTGATGGAAAGAAATAACTGCATGTTATAGAGATAAACTAACAGGAGCATACTGAGTGCAGTCTTAGTGCAATAAATGGAGTGATACCATTTATATGGAATATAACTTTCGTTGTCTGGGCTGCACACATATAAATTCACTTCATTAATGAAAGAGAGGCTGATAATTGCAACCTACTTTAAGTAGCTGGGTTCATCACTGAAACTAAAACCTGGTTTAGAAATTTAGGTGACTAAATTGATGCAACCTTGGAGCCTGAAACCAAACAAATGATGGGTGGACATGGGATTGATACCTTACAGGCTTTCAGTGGAATAAAAGCAAATCCCTTCTTTTCTCCTTTCTTGTTACTATTATTCTCTAAAGTGGTGTGCTTGGTAAGTTGTGGTTTTAAATAAATGTGCTCCAAAAGCCAGAAAATTTATCAGAACCTTTATTATAATTCAAGCTTCACAAAACAAGCACTCTCCACTGAAAGCCAAAACAGACTCTCAAACCAAAGCAAAGAAGGACTCCTCCACACTCTGGCTTTAATGTGTGGCTTATTCCCTTGCCAAGGATTCAATTCTTCTGCCATGCTAACAAGTCCAGACCCTGAAAATCAAGGTTGATCATCTGGAATGGCTGACTTCCACAAGATCTTGTTTACAGGTCAGAGGTCCGGGGCAAAATGCCAGAATAAAACAAGTAGTTTTATTTATCCAAGCGTGATAGTAATCAATAGCAGAACAAAATAATAAATTACAGAATGTATGGGGGAAGAAGAAAAAGATATTTAAGAATCATGAGGAAGAGCAACATCTTACTTGCTTATGAAATCATGCAATCATAAACTTAGAAAGGGCCGTTTAAGTTGTTGAGTCCACTCCCACCCCAGCTCACTAACAGAATCTAATTTGAAGTACCTTTAACAACTGCCTCTTAACACCATCAGCAAAGTGGGCCCACTAATTCACAGATAAATTGCTTAAATTCCACTGATCACAACATTAAAAAGTTTCCCCCCTTAACATTAATTTTCCTAGTTGTACAGGGACTCTTTGACTAATAACAATTCATTTAATAATTGAAATTACAAGAGCACTGAAAAAAGTGATTTATGATTGTTTTTCACACTTAACAGCTGTTTCATCTTCATGGTCACATGATCAAAATTAGAATTAGAATTCTTTATTGGTCAAGTGTGATTGGACACACAAGGAATTTGTCTTGGTGCAAATGCTCTCAGTGTACATAAAAGAAAAGATACATTCATCAAGAGTCAAGAATCATAAGGTACAACACTTACTAATAGTCATAGGGTACAATAAGCGATCAAATCATACTAGGAAACAGTCAATATAAATTGTAAGGATACAAGTGACAAAGTTACAGTCATACAGTCACAAGTGGGAGGGGATGGGTGATAAGGAGTGATGAGAAGATTAATAGTAATAGTAGTGCAGACTTTGTAAATGGTTAGCAACAGAAATTTGGGGCTCACTTATGTTCATAAGTTGAAAATCACAGAACATCTAACGTATTATCTTTCTGATGAAAGCATTAAAGATCGAGAGCCTTTCTTCACTAGGGATTCTAAGTGTAGCTGAATACTTGCTATGCCAAAATATGAATGGAAGAATATTTTGGATGCCAATTGGGTCCTGCCTGCCTAAAATTTTGGATTTTCTTAGGGATTGTATCAATAACTGATCAAGTTTGGTCTTTTTATCTGTTTCACAGCTTCTCGAAAAGGAAAAGAAGAGGGATAGCTGCAGCATTTACTAATGTTTATGGATCTGTGGTGACCATTTGATTCATTTAACTTCTCCAGTGATTTGCTGAACAACCATGGCAAAAAAAAAAAAAAAAAAAGTCACAAAATTGGGTACTCCTTAACAACTGCTTTGCTTAGCAACACAAATTGTGATCACAATTGTGGCACCACAAGTGGAACCAACCACAGATAAATGGAAGTTTAAACAAGAGGAACACCAACGAGTGGGGGGGTCACAACGCATCAAAAGCATCACAAAAGAGTATCTGTTACTCTGTGGTGTGGCCTATTCCCTCCTGAGAGAAGCTCTTTTTCTAAAGGGTGAAACTTTGATCAATATGAGTTGGAAGAGACTTTCATAATGAAAAAAATACAAATTGCCCACACTCTGCTCTTCAAGTACAGACACATATCATGACTGGGTCTCTCTCTCTTTTTTCCCCCTTTGCTTTGGACAGCCTCCTCTTTTCAACCACGGCTTTCCTTTTTGGCGCACTCTTCTTTCTCCCAATTTGAAACAAAAGTGAGCAGAATGGAGCATGGGGAGGCGCCCCTCCTGCCTGGGCTCGCGGGGCCCCGCTTGGCGTGATGGAGGGCCGAAGGCTGTGGGACAGGTCCGCTTCCTCTCCCTCAGCGCAGCCCCTCGGGCCTAATGAGTTGTCCAAAGGAAGCAGGTTCCAGCGCGCGTGGCTAGCGGGACGCTCTGATTGGCCAGCTGCGCCTCGCGACCCCCCATTCATTAATAAATTAGCGGCACGCTCCAGCCGAGCGCAAGGCACCAATCACACCCCAGAATTGTCCCGGTTGCCAAACACACTTTCGGAGGATCAGATAAAAAAAAAAGGGGGGGGGGGGAGGAAGGAAGGGAGGGGAAAGAGGAGCACACACACACACACACCCTAAAAAAGAAAGAAAAGAGATGAGCGATGGTAATGAAATGAAAAGGAAAGCTAAACCTGGGGAGGGGGAGAGCCGAGGAGGCCCCGGGGGTACATTGATTGTTTTCCATGGGGTATATAAGGGGTTTTAAGTAGAGTCGTGTGCCAGACACACAGCCACAGAAACACAAGCAGCTTCGCTTTAACTGGAGGGCCCAGGCGCGTGCCAGCAGCTTTTCCCCACTGAGCCGCCCTGTTTCTTACACACACGCAAGCCGGCAGCGGCGGGCCATACAACCCGCCCTTTAAAGACATTTCCCACCCACCCACCTCCGCCCCCCCTCCGAGCAAGGAGCCCTGGACCCACACCAACACCCAGCCACGGTGGGACCTTCTCCAGCAACCGGGAGGGACCGGCGCGGGGCCAAGCTGAACCTTGAAGGTTGCCCCAAGGGGCGGTGCGGAACGAGACAGAAGCAGCCAGCCGCGTCTTCGGTGGCCAAAAAAAGGGGGCCGAGCGAAAAAAACAATTCGGTTACTTCCAAAAGAGCCAAGTAAGTTTCCGAACTTCCCTCTCTCTCTCTTTTTTTTTTAAAAAAACCCCTCCCAATTTATTTGAGGCGAACTTAGTTGGCTGAAGGCCGTTTTCGGAGCGGCAGCCAAAACTCCCGCTTAGTGCATAGGCGCAATCGCAGCTCTTTCTGCCTCCCTTCCCCGGCCGCCGAGTATTGATAGGAAGGCCGAGGCAACCCAGCCAATTTCTTGCAACGCCTTGCCGAGCGGAGGAGCCCTTGTGGTTAGTTCATGCTCGGTACGTTAAACCTTCCAAGCGAACCCGATGCAATGAAGTCAACGGGCATTCGTGGCCCCAAAGTGACCCCTGAGAGCTGCACCGCAGACTTTCAAGCGCTGAGCGGGCTCCAACCATTAGCTTTGGGTGGACCGGTGCGTCGATGTGCATCGCCGTTACGTTGGCTGTCTATCCATGCCGTGGAAAAGTTTCGCGCGGGTGTATTATAGAGCGAGGCCGGGACTCTTGGGGAGCAGACGGCTTCCCCTCTTTTGTAAGCACTGACCCGTCCACGCCTGGGTGCGCCCTTGCGCGCGGTGAGGGGCGCGTTTTGGGTGGGCCGGGAAGGGAAGTTCCCTCAGGAGCTCCAACTGCCTTTCCTCGAAATGACCGCTTTGCCTGGTTTTGTGTTCTTCCTGCAGGATGTTCGCGAAGCCAGAGACCCTGGAAGTGAAGGAGGAAGAGGGGCTCCTTGACCCCCGGTCGTCGCCCTCCTCCTCCTCTTCGTCGTCGTCTTCCTCCCCCTCCTCCTCCTCCCTCGCCCCTTTCTCGTCGGGCTCCGAAGGGGAGGACGAGGTGGAAGAAGAGCCGCCCCACGTCCTCTCCCCTTCGGGACAGGCGCCCGAGGTGGCCGTGAAAGCGGCGGAGCACGCGCGCCTTCCCCTGCTCGGCTTGAGACGGCACGACTATAAGAGGCGCTCCGGCCGGGCGCAAAACGCTTCCCGCCTCACCAAGACGGCCGAGACGGTCCAACGGCTGAAGAAGAGCCGCCGCCTGAAAGCCAACAACCGCGAGAGGAACCGGATGCACAACCTGAACGCGGCCCTGGATGCCCTGCGGGAGGTGCTGCCCACCTTCCCGGAGGACGCCAAACTGACCAAGATCGAGACGCTGCGCTTCGCTCACAACTATATTTGGGCGCTCACCGAGACGCTCCGCTTGGCCGACCATTGCGGAGGGGGAGGAGCGGCTGCTGCTGCCGCAGCTGCCGCCGCCGCCTTCTCCGAGGCAATGCTGGGCAATATTAGCAGCGGAGGGGGCGCAGGCAGCAGCAGCAGCATTTCTCAGACGTCGTCCTCGGGTTCCTGGAGCTGCACCACCAGCCCCGCTCCTTCGGCCGGCTCCTCGGCTTACAGTTGTACTTTGTCGCCTTCCAGCCCCGGCAGCTCCGCCTCAGAGTTGGACTTTTGGCAACCGGAAAACCCCGGCTATCTGCTATCCAGAGATTTGATCTGATGCCCGCTGTCCCTTCCCACTCGTCCCTTCCCGCGTGGGCCGGAGGGCGGGGAGACTGACCTGGCCCACCAGTAGCGGACATCCCATGGTTCCATTCCCCGGAAAGACCGGGGCGGGCTTGGGGCGCGCAGCAAACAGCGCTGGAGGCTGAAGTATCAAGGCGGAGCGCCTGATCCCTGGGACGCTGACTGCGGTCCTCCGCCGGCCCTTTGTAGGGCTCTGGACGCTTTTGAGTGTCTTCCTCTCCCGCGCACCGATCCCTTCGAGGTTAGCGATGCCTGGCCCTGGTGGCATCTGCTTGTTTCCCATTGCCAGCCTGGCGGCTGTGGGAATTACACCTGTCAAACCAAACTTTCTGTCACTGTGATGTGCACTTTCCCACAATGTCTTTTGTTCTTTCTCTCTCTTCTGCCTCCCCCGCTGACGGCGATATCCATACCTCTTTATCCTAGCTCTCCCTCTGCTTTTAGCAGCTGTCTCCTCTATGATTTATGCGGAGTGAACAGGAGAGAAAATGAAGACCGAGAGGGTGGTTTTCTTGATCTGTTGATTTGCTTGTTCAGATTGAGTTAGAAGGCGCTGCATAATTTGTAGGCATTATCCTGACTGAACGCAAGCGTGGAAATTTGGGGGGGGGGGGGGGGTGGAGCAGGCGGTGGTGAGAATTTAGAAGCTGTGTGGGGTGAAGAAGGATGGGATGGAGGGGAACCCTTATGCAATAAGATTCTCTTATGCATTATTTATCCCCACCTTTGATTGATGGAAAATGCCCTTATTCTTTCAACAGACTAAACATACAGACAGAAAAATGTCAGAGGTCATAAATTGTAATTAGCAACACACTTGTGCTTTTATTTATTGCAAAGGAAATAAAAACTTTTTTGTAAGACATGGGGGAAGGGAGAAGAGACACAGATATATTTTTGTATATTTTACAGAGTTTATTCTAGTATGTATTTACAGTTGCAGAGCAAGGAGGTGGTTCTTCGACATGAAACATATATAAATAAAGTATATAATTTTTCATGAGAGACAATGGTGGTGATCTTTGCTAATAGACTGAAGATTATTTCTGAGTTGTGACTGATTTAGTAGATATCCTTTAGCTACAGTCTTGGATGTAAACCCTAATGAACATAGAATTTCTCTTTTATTTATGTGCTTTGCTAATAATGCATCACAGATCGGTTCTGAGCTATCCCTTTTTAAAAATCAATGAAATTAATTCCGTCATGAATATGACACTGCATCCACAAGGGCCTAAAGAAAGCATTGGTTCTTCTTTTGTTTTAAGTCAATAGTAGAGTTTTTGCTTTTTTATTTAAGTAAAGTGGGCACCTTACAGTGTAGGCAGAGGTAATGTAATAATGATGCTTGAAGAATCATTCTTGATCCCTCAAGGATTGATTCAGTAGCAAAAAAAAAAAAAAAAACCTTTGTAAAGTGTTTTTTTTTTAAAAAAATGCTTTAATATAGAAGGAATAACAATACCATGCTGTGTTCAAGAAAATTAGCAATTCTTAAACAGATGATTAAACTATGTCTGCATGAAATAATCTTCAGCACTTCTCTCATATTGATGAAGCATCCATTCATAAACAAAAAAATGAAACTTCAGTATAATCCAAGATTTCAGACGAGAGGTTGCATTGTCTTCCCAACATTGCAGACTGAACATCTCTGCTGTCCGCCATGCTTGATAAATCCATAATTCTTTATACAGTATAGTGATCAGTTCTAAGTTTATGATATATTATTAAGAGCCTTAGCCACAATCGGTTAATATGGGATATTGCTCCCATTCTTTATTCCAGAGTTCTTGTACATAAGTAATACCCAATTTACTAATGCTCCTGGTTTATAAAAGCATGCTATAGACTTAGAAACATTCAAAACTAAGCCCCAAGCTAATACGTAGTGATTCAGAAGCTGTAACAGTGCAAATGCACCTGTATGAATAGCCTGAACCACAATCCAGGACAGATACTTGGTTATGTTTCATAAGAAAGAAAATATTTAGATAAATCAATTCTACATGAAAGGAAATATTATAAATGGATTCAGACAAATTCTTCCTGCTTTATTTCAGTAGTGATGCAACACTTTACTCCAATAAAGTTCTAGTAATGCCTTAAGACCTACCCCACAATTTAAGAATTGTGTCTTAAGATAACACTGAAGTGGATCCTTTAGATAAGGATCAGGTGGCTGCTCCTAGTGAGTTACAATGATACCTGCAAGCAGCTTAAGATGATTCAAAACATGTTCGGCAGGGCATCACTTTTAATTAGTTTCACTTCACTTTTGTAAAGATGAAAGGCAAGGGTACTATTTGAAGAGTAAAAGCACACTCTCCCCCTGCTCCCCCTCAGTAAAAATACCAGATTGTGAGGTAGGAGGGTATCATGCAAATATTTTATTATTCATTCAATTTGGAAAGTGTTGACATGACAAAAAAAATAGATTCCCTCTTTTGGGATTTGTGGATATACTCAAAAATCGATTTTTTGTCCAGAATTATACTATTCAGAACTTGATACTATAAATACAGAGAAATCCACAAACGAACAATCTTTATAACCTCTGAAATACAATCTTATCTATGGTTATTTGGATACAAATTTTATTAATGTTCACTTCCAAATAAATGGGTATAGAAGCATACGGTCATAAGTACCATTAAGTTCATGCAGCAGAGAAATAATGATTTTAAGCCTTGTGTTGAAAAAGAGTTGCTTGGTTCACATATAATATTGTACCATAAATCATGGCTCATAATAGCAATAGCACTTAAACTTATATACCACTTCACAGTGCTTTACAGCCCTCTCTAAGTGGTTTATACTAGGGACAGCAAATTGCTCCCAACAATCTGGATCTGCATTTTACCAACCTTGGAAGGATGGAAGAAACCTTGAACAGGTGAGAATGGAACTGCCGAACTGCTGGCAGTCAGCAGAATTAGCCTGCAGTACTGCATTCTAACCACTGCGCTACCACGGCTCTTAAGCCACAATAATTAGATTCGCATATCACACTATGCTTAAACAACATTCTGATTTAATCTAACATATGATCTAAGTAACTGCATGTGTGAAACAATAAGGATTAAAGCATAATAATGCATTCTTGGAACACCTACCTGGGACAAAACCCCACAATAATCAATGTAATTTATTTATACGTGCTCAATAACCTTGGATATAAGTTTATTTAAGAATGCAGATTTTGTATCATGGCGGTGCAATTTTTAAAAAGAGGTTAAAAAAAATTAACAAGAGGAAAAAACCCATTCCATATTGTTATTGGTTAAAAATAATGATCAAACCATTTGGTCTAGTGGTTAAGGCATCAGACTAGAAGCTAGGAGACTGTGAGTTCTAGTTTAGCCTTAGACATGAAAGTTGGATGGATGACTTTGAGCCAGTCACTCTCTCCCAACCCACTTCCCAGAGTTGTTGTTGTGGGGAATATTGGATGAAGAAGGAGTATTAAATATTTTTGCCAACGTCAGTTGTTTATAAAAATACCAAAGATGGGATATCAATAAACACACTGAGTATACTGCTTATTTCTTTGCTGGATTTATATCCCCTTGTTCCACCAGCCAAGACAATTTCAAAACAAAATTTCTAATTTAATTGAAAATGCATTTTTCAAATATAAAAGACAATAATTGTTCCAATCAAATCTGATCAGCCCTTCAAACGCAGCCTGCACTTTTAATATCCATTAAACAGTAGTGGAATTTCTCCCAGAAAAATCCAAGGAAGAAAATGTAAACTTTTCGGGTTGGCATCAAATTGCAAAGCCTGGAGTCCAGGAACAGGTCTTCAGGGACTGAGTTCAGAACAGAAATGTGGTGTTTTGCTTGTCTGTGGTTTAGCCTCTTGGGTAAACCAGTGTAGCTAGCAAACTGTGATTTAATGGTTTGGTGTTTAGTGAGCTTGGAGTCTTGTGAGTCTAGTAAACCATGATAAGAAGATAAAGCGTCAGCATGATACACAAAACAAGGGCTGGCTGGATGCTTCACAGACAGGTAATTCTCCAGCTGTCTAGTGGGAGCCAGCCAAAATGAAAGAGCACTATGGCCGGGGTGGGGTTGAGGAAGAGCCTATTCCTCTGCCATTCTTAACTCAGCTTTACCCATTCGGAATGGGCTGAGTGACAGTCGGCAGACGCGCATCACAGAAGCCTTGTCTTAGCACACGGGGTCTGCCTCGGGGGAGCCCACCCCTTGTGGGAGGCAGCCGGGGCTGTTGCCCAGCAGCCATAACAAAGGGGGAACCAGAGGACAGAAAGAATAAAAAGTCCTTTACAGGACTAATGAGGAAGTGAGAGGGGGAGAGTCTTGCTGACTCAACCAGCCCAGGGTGCCATATATACAAGGGTGCGATATTAAATGGACATGTTGAGCTAGGGGTGACATGATAGCAGTGTCCCAATATCTCAGAGGCTTCCCCAAAGAAGAGGCAGTCAAGCTATATTTCCAAAGCACCTGAGGGCAGGACAAGGAGCAATGGGTGGAAACTAATAAAGGAGAGAAGCAACTTAGAACTAAGGAGAAATTTCCTGACAGTGGGAACAATTAATCAGTGGAATGAAAGTTGCCTCCAGAAGTTGTAAATGCTCCAACACTGGAAGTTTTTAAGAAGAGATTGGACAGCCATTTGTCTGGAATGTTATAGGCTTTCCTCCTGGAGCAGGACTAGAAGACCTCCAAGGTCCCTTCCAACTCCGCTATTCTGTTAATCAAGGGGAGAAGAAACCTAGAAATAAGGAGACATTTCCTGACAATTAGAACAATTAATCAGTGGAACAATTTGCTTCCAGAATTTGTGAATGCTCCAACACTGAAAGTTTTTAAGAAGAGATTGGACAACCATTTGTCTGAAATAGTGTAAAGCAGGGGTGTCCAACCTTGGCAACTTTAAGACTTGTGGACTTCAACTCCCAGAATTCCTCAGCCAGCACAGCTGGCTGAGGAATTCTGGGAGTTG